TATATAAAATGAAGAATCATTACGCAAAAAGTCATCGATTTCACCAAACTTCCACCAAAGTGCCGAAGCAGCAACAATAGCAGAAGATTGATCAATTAAATGCCGACTTACTTGGCAAGTTATTTGTATTTTTGGCTGATAATGTGCGTTCACCGCATTAAAAATGGTGAAATGAACAACCTCTGCGAAATAGCAGCAGTCCAGTGACTCTGTTCCGATGGATTTTTCACGTGAAATCTCTTTATTTCAAAAGTGTTTATATCACCCCCGAGTCCATTTGCCACCCAAAAGATGTCCATCATAGGTGCCTTGTTCCTATTTCAAATGTCTCTGGTGCAGTTTCCAGTACCTCTTATCTAAACTAATACCAAAGTCTTTCTTGTTTTATTAATCGCACCTTTAACTCCACTCCTTCGTGTTTCAGGTTTTCACGACAGTCTCAACTGTGGCTGTGATAACTAAATGCGTAATGTTTAATGTAAGTCCAGTGCGCCTACACGGGTGCCTCTTTGTCTAATATTCCGCCCGTTCTCTTCATATCTCTTAGATACGTTCGGAGGTCTTTTCATTATCAAAAGTGTCGGCCTTTCTCTGCTTAACTTTGTCATTTTAAGACAGCCCGATGAAGGGCTGGGACACTAAACTCCTCAAGAATATCGACCAAGCTGTGCTTTGCCGTGAATTTCACATTTTTAGTTATTTCTTTCTGAAGTTGCCGAACAAACTTGTACATGATCCATCAGAAGAGGGTTTTTCTACGACTAACATTTCCTTGAGTGTTAGGGAGGGGGGATTGGCAGATTTGCTTAATTCAGTTGATCAAATTGTGAAAAATTCGTTGCCTCAGTGGGAGTCGAACCCCCAGAGCAGGGAAGGCTTTGTGCAGCCAACGCTCTACCATTGAGCTACGAGGCTAACCGTGAGCTGTGAATTTAATCACAATGATTTGGATATTTCTTCGTTTGTATGCCCATGCCTACACATTGACCTCCGTTCCTTGAC